TCCTCCGTCACTCTTTTGTTTCAAAATAAAGTGATGTTGCTGCTAAAGATTATGCTGATTTATGACGAAGCTCTATTGAGCGGCTAACCTCCATTAAGCGGCCACATGCCAGTAACTATATTGTTAGGGACCTTACGGCGACGATAACGGGAACCTCCAAAAACATCAGTTTTAACCCTTTAAACCCTAAGATCAAACTTTGAATTCTCATTTGTTGCTCCTATTCTTTCCTACAGAAGATATGGGGAGAAGTTGATAAAATATCAAGCAAATTCATCTTGTGTGATCATGTCCGTACTTCTCATGACCACTCTGTTTTGCAAAGCATTGATATTACAAGGAGAAATTGGATGCTGATCACTCTTAGGGCTTAAAGGGTTAATGAGCACACAACAACAACTTTGCACGTGCATCATGATTGTTGGTTAATTTCATTGCCGTCCCTTCACAACTACAGACGTGACAAGGCCAAATTTTACGTTGACTTGAGAACGGGAACCGGGCACAGCAATAAATTCATAACATCTCTGTCTTAATATCGGGCGCAGTCTCTTCTCTTCAGCTCCAACTTATATCAAGCTTTCTTGTTTAAGTAACTTAGGGATAATCGCCAAAAAGTTTGAAAGGATGCGAAGTCTGTTTTTTAACGACTTTTTCGTGGACGTCGCCATTGTCGGATCGTTAGGTCCCTATTCACTATGAAGCTTTTCCGTAACATAGAGGTGTCCATTTTATTAAAGTGTATTTTATGAGGAGAGTTTCCCCTTAAACACTTGAAGTCTCGATTGCCACTACGAGGAAAATCCAGGATATCATTTAAACAACAAGAAACAGATTTATCCCGCGAATAGAGTTCTCCACCTTGTAAACAACAGGATTTTATGTCTTGATTCTTTAGTCCTCTGGCTTTGATACCTGATTACAAAAAGGGACGAACATCATAAGATTGGTTCCGATCCATTCCAGTCTATGACAGCATTCTTCCACCTGTACGATCAGTAAAAAAAATACACAAGGGTTTAATAGTTAACCACTATCTTAGGACAAGGACGCCAAATTATCGCATGCCAATTACTGCATTCTACGTCATGTTACAAGCTGGTTTTAACAATCCATGGTCTGTAATCTTATCTACCATGGAAATGACGTCACAATATTCAAAACTCAAGTGGAACCAAGAACTGCGGTTTCATTGCAAAGTTTTGAACATTTTGACGTCATTTCTATTGTCAATAAGAGTACAGACCATAAAAAATTGTTGTCGATTTTTTTCTTACGATAATATTGCCAGTTTTTGGCGTCCATTTACGTTGAAGTTTCTCGGAAAATCGCGCGCGAGAGAAAGAGAAAAACAAATTGCGCCATCATGACGTTATTTGTCTTATTTCCATGGTCTGCACTCTGTTCGAACAAAGCTCTCAACCAATCCACGCGAGAGAATCCGCTCAGTTAAAAAATATCTTTTGACTTGGTGCATAAAATAATTCTCGCTTTTATTCGGCCCGACACGTCAACAAATACATCAAACACGCCTGTTTCTGCGTCAGAAGAAGAAATCCTACAACGACTAGACTTTTCGCCATCAAAGAGATTCCAAATACCCCTTTAACGAGCAAGCAATAGGTTTTTGGATAGTAACACCTTAAAAATTTGCCAACAAACCAAGCACCACACGCAAAAACAGTACCATCACGACGTGAAAGTAATGCCTAAAAGGTTTCTTTTGAATGATCACGTCGTAGAATTTCGTCCACAGACTCAAACGTAACAGCTACATACTAAGTTAAAAGAAACATCTGAAAGTACAGCTAAAGAGGTTTTACTTGAATGGTTACACCATAGCGAGGATTTCATCCACAAACTTAAAAGTTAGAACTACACACTCAAGATATAGAAACATGTAAAAGTACAGTGCAGGGCTGAATTAATTTGAATGACATTGCCTGATGGTCGAAAATGAGCCTTGAAATGCACCTCTGTCTTAAAGAATGATCCCATTTTGGGCCTTTTCAAGCTCATCAATGACGGGGTACAAAAACGATTTGATGGAGAGCAAGAAACGTACCAGAACGACAAGAAAAACAGACCTTATATTATTTTATTTGGAAATTTACTTTCTCTTTCTTGTTCAAGTAGGTTTCTTGCCTCCAAGCACGGCGTTTTTGTGCCAAGCGGCCAAATTCAAAGCCCTGAAAGGGCCACTTTTCAGACAATGAACTCTGTGGTCTCACCTTGTTCGTATGCAGTGTTCCAGTGGAGGCACAAGATCAGTGTCCTTGTATTCTGGGCATTCTTTTGTTGTATCTTTATCAAGAGAAAGATGAAATTACTAAAAAGCTTCGTCCACACGTATCCGAATATTTTGGAAACCATTTTTTTCCTCCGTTTTAAGTCTTCTGCCGTCCACAATTAAACGGCGTTTTCAGGCACCTAAAACGTACGTTTTGTAAAACGCTTTCATGGTGTTGATTTTTTCTTTTCTTTTTTTTCTTCGTGTTTTTATTTGCAAAACGCCTTCTTATCTTTCTTTCATGAAAAAGGAGGCTTCAATTGAAATACGATGATGTCATACATAATACAGGGACGCTATCGTAATTTCATCATCAAAACACATCTCTATGATTATATTAACCTGAAATGCGTTTTTCCATATTAATGGTATTTAACCAGTGGTTTTATAATTTCAATTTTCAGCTAGTTTTTCTTAATAATTTTAATTTTTCCTGACTCAAAATAACTTCCCTGACTTTTTCATGACCTTGAAGTATCTTTGTTCAGAGCCACTACCTAGCCTGTAACAGCTATGTACTCAAGCAAGGCCATATAAGTTACACTGACATTTTACACGAAGTAATGCATGCTCACCAACTGTCAATCTTAACTCCTCATCCTGCCGAGCCAAACCATCATAGTAATAAAGGTCAAACTTCTTCTCTAACCTCCTGTGTATATCAATCAAACAATCAATAGCTAGAGCCTACGTCGACTCCTATATTGCAGTTAGATAGCACATTATACACACATCTAATCCTGCAATCACTATCACTTGAAATTATCGTCATAATCTTGAAAACACAAGATAACGCAATTAATTCCACGAATAAACGCTCTGATTTCCTTTTGAGTTCTCCTTCTCCCAGTGTTGGTTTCAAGAGATTGGTTGGACTCAACTTTTTTTTTTATTAAACATTGAAGCGCAAGGGGCGAGGAAATTTGTGAGTGTTTCAACAATTATGACCAGGACTTCCGGTCTGCAAGGATCTTTGTCTTCGGATCTGTATTTCGGGTTTCAAGCCCTGCCGTCGCGTTCACTCCTTAACAAGAAACGTCACTCAGGTGTATTAACGGGTCCCGGGGACATACAACTGGGGGTAACACTGCGATAGCCTGCATGCAGACATTTCCTTTCATAGTGGGGGAGAGGGCGGGGTAGGAAAGCAATACACCCAGGTTTCCCACGCTCAAGAGACTGGGAGAAGCCTTGGTCGTGTGGGCAACATGGCTTGCTAAGCTTAGTATAAGCATCTAACAAGGGTACTCTGGGTCCAATTTCCCTTATAGGTGTCCAAAGCTTGGACCATCTACCCATCTCAGTATACGTTCCTGGGAGACTGCCCACCTACCCCTTCCCTAAGCCAACATTTTGCCCTAAGTGAGAGGTAAGTGTCAATGTTGGCTTAGGGGAGGGGTAGGTGGACAGTTTCCCACTCCATCATACAGTTGGTGCCCGACTATCATCATTTGCTGGTAAACTGATCGCTGATAGAAGTAATTTTCTAACCCTTCGGTAAAGCACTACAAGTGACCAGGACGTAGTACTCTTCTACACCATCAGTGTTTTTAGTAAAACGGAAGGAATAAAACTCCTCATTACCACATAACAGGCTTTTTAGTATTCTTAGGAAGAATAATAAGTTCAAAGAATAATAAGTTCAAATGCCGTAAATTGGCTAGTATCAATGGCTGTTTTCACACTGGAGACGGATTATCCGTTTGAGACGGACAATCCATCTTGAAAATCCGTCAAAATTGACGGAAATACAGATGGATGAAGTCAGGCGGATTGTCCATCCAAAACTAAGACGTATTATCTGTCTGACGCGAATTATCCAACGGATAACCCGTCTCAAACGGAGAATCCGTATTTAGTGTGAATACAGCCATTTACGAGTCACTATAAGCTTACCAGTCGTCCAAGAGGTTTCTGTCGATAGAGAACAAGACACTGAAGTGACTCTCGCTGCATATCACCCAAATAGGATAATTGGGAGTCTTGTAATTCACACCAACCTGTAACAAATGAAATGATGAATTTTGTCAGTACATCGTAGATACTCATATTGTTTGGCCATCTAAGCTGAAGAAGAAACAAAAAGCAAACAGCGGTGATAAACAAAAATGCGTTTATACTTCCTTATATGTTTATCACAGCAGTTTGCTCTTTGTTTATTCTGTCAGTACAACTGTAGCATGCAGGGCGGGCGCTTTTTTTCGCGTTTAAGAGGGCGTGGAGCGCGAAATAAGCGCGACAGGGAAAAGCGCGGAAAAATAATAATAGAGAAACAATTTCTGCGCCTTCACCCGCCGCACTGTCTCGTGCTCCACGCTCGCTTCGCGCATGCCTGAAAAACGCGAAAAATAACGCCTGTTTTGCAGGGTAGCAAAACTGCTACTTTGAACTATACGCCGGTTAAACCTTAAGTCCCAATATCAACATAAAAATTCTCCACACTGATCTCCATACATTTCCTTGAAAAACAAGTTGAGAGAATATGATTTAAGATCAAAGCATCTTCACTAAAGGTGACTCGACCCAGTTTTTTGGGGGGGGTACCATCCTACTTTGAAGCTGTCTGGTATCCCCACCTTTACTTTTATCTTAAGTCTAACACATACAATGGATAACATATAGATCAATCTACAATATAACATAAAATTGATTAACAATTGATTAACTAACTACCCGGACTCTGAATTTCATGGTCATTGAAAAACTGTGACATTATCTTCTATAAGCCCAAACTTGGGTAAACATTGAAGATATTTAGCGTTTTGGCTGAGTTTGTGCTTTGGGAGTTGTCTATTGTTTCTAGTCTGTCATTATACAGCATTCTTGTTCAGCACGCGTGCAATGACCGCGCTTAGCTGGCTTTCGAATGCTCACCGAGATATGATAATTTTGGTACAGTGAGACAGGCCATCGCGTGATACATAGAGGTTTAACTCACAATTTTTAATCAATTCTCGTGCTTCTTGTGCCTTTGCAAAAAAATCAAGAAGTGCTACACACTAAATCTACTTACTATTAAAAAAATATCATTTTTTCATAGGTTTAATGCAAGCCAATAATTAAACCAACACGTGACGGGAATCCCTTCTATTTTCTCATACTAAATTATCATATCTCGATGAGTATTCGGAAGTCAGCCAAGCGTGGTCATTGCACGCGTGCTGAACAAGAATGCTGTATAATGACAGACTAGAAACAATAGACAACTCCCAAAGCACAAAGCAGCCAAAACGCTAAAAATCTTCAATGTTTACTCAAGTTTGGCCTTATAGAAGATAATGTCACAGTTTTTCAATGACCATGAAATTCAGAGTCCGGGTAGTTAGTTAATCAATTGTGGCCCTGAAAAAATTTGAAGGAAAAAAAACTACGAATTTTTAAGAAAATGCTTTTTTCGTGAGAAGGACTCTTAAACGCTGACAAACGTCAACAAATAGCGAAAACTATAATTTCTATATGTTTGCTTTGCTCGAAATCGCGCGCATTTACAAGGCCCTAAAGCGTTTTTTCTGACTTGCAAGGACCCATCTGTTATAACGATACCCAAAATAAAGGGATAAATCTCGTAGTTTATTAGATATAATCGTGTAAAGTTTGCTTATCATTTTCGCATAAATTATGACCTAAATTTGGAAACCGCTGAATTTCTCGAATTGGGTCTTTGCGATTTTGGTGAAACTCTGTTCAGCGCAAGGCACTAATTCGCACTATGTGTAGCCGAGAGATTTTCACGAAAAAAAGCCGGCAACAGCAGATTTTCGACTTGGACCTCAAAGGGGCGTGGCATTATAACCACGTGCCATTTACTCCGATCGCCAAAAATTTTATGTCATATTGTAGATTGATCTATATGTTATCCATTGTATGTGTTAGACTTACGATAAAAGTAAAGGTGGGGATACCAGAGAGCTTCAAAGTAGGATAGTACCCCCCCAAAAAAACTGGGTCGAGCCCCTCATAACCCGGTCTCTTAATAATGTACTAATATTGTTAGGGGATAATTGATGTTGGCCACTCGTGGGAAATAAAGGGTTAAACCTTAAGCCTGATTTCCATTGAACAATCTGGATTGTTTCAGTCGCCTCTATTTTCTACTCGGGACGTTGGAAACCAACGTAAGTCAACCAGCCTATCTATAGAGATGGCTCTATCCTGCAACAAGCAACAAGCAACAAGGACGGCGACGGCTACGAAAACGTCTAACAGTCTGTTCATTTCCAAGGTCCACTATCATGGACGGGAGCTCCGCCCTAAGGTTTGCCTCAATGTATTAAAGAAGAACAACGAGTTCTGTTCCACTTAAACTCTCTTAACCTTTGTACAAAGAAGAATCAGGCAGGAGCCTTGGAGGTGTGCAGAAAAATAAAAGGGAGTTTAAGCAGCGACGATTTTGAGCGACGCACGTCAACCGGAAAAGTGCTTTTTGCACTCTTGAGCCGTGATTTTGAACACATAAGAGAAAAGACACATAGCAATACAACAAATTTGGTAGTGTCATTGCAAGAAAAGGTTCACTTCCGGTTGACATGCGTCGCTCAAAAACGTCGCTGCTTAAACTCCCTAAAGACGGTGACAGTGGGTAAGCACCTCCCGGCCCCTTTCATCACACTCCCCTCCCCACCTTCTTTCCTCTCAACACAGAGAAATAGGCAGCTTAAGCAACAACGACAACAACGACTACGAAAAAGTCACCTGAAGAGTGAATTCGCGTTGCCTCAAATTTTATCGCGCTTATAACATCTCGTTTAACTCGTCAAATGTTGGCAAATTTTTTGTAGTTGAATTCTAAACGACTGTATCAAAGTACAGGAAAAGAAAGTCGTGTGTTCCCGTCCTCGACACCTTCACGTTGTAGTCGTGCAACGACGGCAAAGAAATGCACAAAAAAGCGTATTGTTTTGCCAAACTAAGGGTCTGTTTACATGGGGGTGGGGGACTCCAGATAGGTGAGGTAACATACAGCGGGTCACCCCACCTATCATGTAAACGTGATCAAATTAAAATGGGAGATTATATGGAGAGGTGGATTACCCGACCTAAGCGGGTTACCTCCCCTACCTGGGGTCCCCCACCTCCATGTAAACAGGCTCTAAACCTATTGCTTTTTTCCCGTCCTCGTTGCCGTCGCCGTCGCCGTCACCGTTGCTTAAGCTCGCTAATATCTCTAGTCATCACCAACCTCGCATGATTTGTAATGTTCAAATAAGGACAGAAACCCGATCTCACTTTGTTTATCTATCCCTTTGAAGACATCCTAAAAAAAAAAAAAAAATCGGTAAATGTTAGCATTTATAGGGAAGCAAAAAACTTTACTATAAGACGTTCACGTCGAAAGATTAAACAGAATGTTTAAAGAAACTAAGAGGCATCAGCAGTTGCAGAGAATAAGGGGAATTCCTTCAGATATTCTCGAGATGATGGGGTTGTATCACATTGAATCGTTGTAATTCCGTTTTACATATTAGTGAAAATAATCTTTAATAGGTTCGTGATACAGTGAAACCCCGTACATACGGACTCTAAGGGGGGTATAGAAAGTGTTCGTATTAACGAGGTATTCGTATTAAGAGGGTTGCATTAAGAAAAATCTCAGGGCTTTCATTCTCCAGGGACAAGGAAAACTGTCACATGTGAAAATCGTCTTAGGTTCGTGATACAGTGAAACCCCGTACATACGGACTCTAAGGGGGCCATAGAAAGTGTCCGTATTAACGGGGTGTTCGTATTACACGGGTTGAATTAAGAGAAAAAGTAAGGGCTTTTTTTCTCCGAGGACAAGGAAAATTTTCACATATCAGTAAAAATCGCTTTAGGTGCGTGATACAGCCAAACCGCGTGAATACAGACACTAAGGGAGCCATAGAAAGTATCCCGAATTAGCGAGGTGTCCGTAAAACGGAGGTGACTGTACACGAATCATTAACAACCATGGGGGTGGGGTACAAACAGTCTCACTCAGGAAATCAACTTTATCGCCTGACAAGGACCTAAGTAAGTAGCGATCAGTAGTGACAATCTTGGGACAAACGATAAACGGAACCCTTTAAACACATTAACCACAATGAAAAATATCCTTCATGACATCGTCTTAAATACTACACCTTTTTCGAACACCCTGTATCAACTTCCATGATGTTATCGAATGTGTTTGAGACAGCCTTTCCAGTTATTAACAAGTTCACCAGTTCCTGTAAAGGACAATACATGTAATAAGAACGAGAATGAGACTTTTGCTGCAATTAATGAAAAAGAAGCTCAAACTGGACGAAATTTCAGTTATTAAGAAAGAACGAAAGAAAGACGGAAACAGACAACCAAACAAAGTAACAAACACTTGTATGATACATCAAGGGACTAAGGGAACACCTTACCACCGCACCTGGGAAAACTGCGCTAAGAATGGTGTTAGTAGACATACAAAAAATTATAATATTGAACATTCTATTAAAATAAATAGGCACGCGAAGGCATAACCTACAAAGACTATCCATTCCATTTAAGATTAACGTCAGGGAAATCATCATCATCATCATCCTCGTCGTCGTCGTCAGATTGATACCCGTAAATGAAAAGATTGTAGTATACAGGTACTGCATTGAAAATCTAACCTGCGTGCAGTAGCCGTGAGCACCCATCAGCCTGCCTTGAGGTTCATCCATATCAGATATCACTCTTAAACAACAACAACAAGAAAAGTTTAAGGCCACTAAATACTTGATAAAAATCACCAGAAGCTCCCTTACATTAAACTTGCAATATAATACTAGCAGATTATTTTTCTTGAAATTATAACACAAAGGCTTACTCTCGATTTCTACTGACATTGATACTTCTTTGCCCCTAGTCAACTATTTGCCGTTAAACTCATCGCCAATAGATGAACTTGAGAACTGGTGCCTTAATGGTTGGACGGGAGCCTGAGCGCCTCAGACATAGCAAGGAGGTATCCATGGCAACCCTGCAAGCGGGAACCACCCCTGCATGCAGCCGCCAACTGGCACCGTCACACTGAAGGAAATTCAGTGGAAAATATTCACCTGACCCCATACTTACCAACGGACAAACCCAAAAAGGGGAGGGAGGGGGTGGGAGCCAGAATCCGCAAAGATTGGAATAAAACACCTGATCCGCAAAGATCAGCTCAAAATGCCAGCATGAGATGCAACGTAAGTGACAAGATAAGCAATGTGCCATGCATATGCACTTATTAGAAGGCGGGGATTTAACAGCTAGGAGGTTCTTTGGTTCTATTTCCTTTTGTGTCCTAAGAAAGTGGCCAGGGGTCATACTCATAACAGCCGGGGAAAATGCCCAGCCCCGGCACTAAATGGCAATCCTTATCAGGAGTGGTAGACGAAGAACAACCATGTGGATACGCTACATCTAAATCATTCATTTAACCCTATAAGTCCCAAGAGTGACCAACATCAACTTTCTCCTCACGATATCGATACAAAATCAAAACTAAAGGTTATGAGAAATAAAGAAATGATCATTGAAAGGAAAATGCTTTGATTTTTTATATCACATTCTCTCAACTAATTCTTTGAGGAAATATCTAGTATTAGTTTGAAGAATTTGTATGTGAATATTAGGGCTTAAAGGGTTAAATATCATTTACTAGAGCATCACTTACTTTCGTATTGACCTGGACAATATGACAGAATACAACAGTAAAATACATCCACTGCTACTATCAGATTCAAACTGAAAATGGACAAAAAGTTGATTTATTTCTAGACGAGATGCAGTAATATGGAAAGTACATAATTTAGGATTACGTTTGGCTCTTATAGTATAAGCTGTTAATATGCCTGTGATAACATTTCTAGTAACCCATTGTAATTTTAGACCGGCAAGCGCCTGACGCTGAAGAAGAACTAGAGGGTGCAAATTTCGGATTTTGGTCTCACTTAGGATGTTCTAGGCAAAACAAGAAATATAAACGAAATTATATATTTTCAATATACTCGATTCATGTAATCAAAGTTCTCAGTATAACATCAATACCTAAAGATTATTGTAACAAAATGTCTCTGTTTTAAAATGGTCTCTTTTAGGGGTCAAAATAAGGTTGGGCTACGCCCAGGTTGGTCTCCTTTAGGGGTGTAATTCAAAATTCCCGGCGAGTATCCCCGCCCCTTTCATATGGGATACCCCTCCGGGGTGGGCCCTCAGTAGGCTTTTCGGGATCCGAAAATTTAGTGGCAAACGAAATGGAGATCTAGGGTGAAATTACCAAAGTGATACGGGAATTGGACGACGAAAATTTGGCAAACCAGATGCACTGAAAAACGATACATCGCTTAACTTGGAGACGCGGTCTAAACACCTTTTATTTAGACTGACGATACCGACGTTTTGTCATTCGGTCGACTGTAACTGTATTCAGTCCAACAAATCTGTCCATTGAAAGTCATGTTTAGGATTACGGTCGGAATAACTGGATTGAACAAGCCTAATAAGGACCTTCCATGACGTCACGTTGGCAATGTTGGTGCAAGTGAACCATAAGCAGCAAGCAAACGCCCCTCTTCTGATTTGCTCCATTGAGAATGAAGGGACATATTACAGACCGCTATCTTTCGGCTTTGTTTCCAAGCAATAAGCATTTATCGGACAAGGCCAAGCACTTGCAAATATCGCGATTTGTCGTTGGTGGCAGATAAAGTATCACTTTTGCTGTTAAGTAAACTGACTTCAGTAATCGTTTCACTAATAATTTACGCTTCATAAAATAATCCTTTTAAAGCAACATTATCAAACAGATACAGTGGTTAAAAGGTAAGCAACGGTACCTCGTTAAAAGGAGAAATAAAAATCACCTTATCCAGGCTCATTCAATAATTGCTAATTGTACAGACATACAACAGGTAAGAATAGAGTAACCTAGTAAGAATGCTACGTACCTGCGATATATTTTGCGAGATAAAACTAAGAAGACTTTCAGAAGACTTGAAGGTGTATAACACAAAGTGTGGAATACAGAAAAAAGTCACCACATGCAATTAACTCACAATTACAAAACTGCAAGTTTAGTACAACAGAAAAAATAGCCTGATGTAAGAAAACAAACAAGGCCCATTTTTATCAATCGTGCAGGGCTGCAAATAATAGTTGGTCATCGAACAAAGTCCAACTAAAATTGGCCCACGTTCAGCGAAATCTTAACTGCGTTTGGACATCAGTTGGACATGTCTTGTCTAATTTAATAACAAAGAGGCAATCGCTTTCATTACAGGGCCCAGGTGTTCGAAGGCCGATTAGAGCAAACTCGGGGTTAAATTTTTATCTCGCTTTCTTTTTCGTTTTAAATAAAGCATTTTCTCAGAAACATTTTTTCTATTCTTTTTTGAGTATGCAATCATCAGTGTGTAGACAAAAAGAATTTAACTGAATTTTCCATGTTTCTTAGCTTTCAAACCTGAATTCAGATTTCACTCTTTCCTTTTGCCATCTTAACCCAGGTTTGAACAGCTAAAATCTACCCTGAGCAGAATCCCCTGAGCAAATGTGTAGGAACAAAATACCATTACTGCATTATGGCAGCAATTACAGTAACAACAGTCTACCTGCAAATCTCACATCCACCATGAACAATATTCGTTAAAGAGGTTTAATGCGAACACTATTGCGGAGACCGATCTCTTTCAGTAAAGCCAAACATGTATTACGAAGGCACCCTTGACGAAGAGGAAAGTGACTTCTCAATACAAGTGCAACACTGTTTACAGTGCAGGCCCCCTATTTTCCCGTAAAAATGTCACGATCGAGTCATTTTGGCGTGAAATGTCCCGTCTTGCTTTAAAACGTTCTGTCAGGGGGCAGGCGTCGGGTTATCTTATGGGAAATTACAGTACTTACCGCTTCTGTTAACTGGTCCGGTTTGTATCGCCCAGCACCAAAAACATTAGAACCACCAGTAGGTCTGAAATAAAATTGTGAGAATTAACTAAATGGGATGTAACTTCGGGTGTTGTCGAAATTATTGTAGCTACCGAGTTGAGGTGTCTTTTCGATATTTTGTGTTACTTGATTTGGTGATTGCTCCATCCGCAAAGATGTTGAGCGATTTTTGTTTCAAGCGACGCTATTCTTGGGGCGTGAGAAATGAATCAGAGGATGTGAAGTGACTGACTTAATTTTGAGTTGTAAGAGCAAAACTAACAACCCCATAAAAGGAAAAACCAAAGGCCATGTCTTGCTTGTTGTTATTGATTTGTTGTGTTTGATGTTTTATTTTGGTTTTGTTTTCTATTACGATGGTCTCAAGTGAAGTAATTCGAAGAGCTTAAGCATTGACGACGACGACAGCGAAAACAACTTTTGATCGCATCAGCGATCAAAAAACGATCAAAAACAGGAGGGAACATTCGTCGTCTTGTGGTCACCCACTCAATAGTTCGCCACATTCAGCAAAAGCAATTTTTACGCTGAGAACGGTAAAATTACGTACCAAAAGGCTCGACTTTTGGCGTTTGTCATCGGGACGGGCCGCACCCTTAGATTGTAGTACAAGTACATTTGTCAGTGTTCAAACCAACTTCGTGTGTCAATTATAATTAAGTAACATATAAACACTGATCTGGTTAGCAACATGAAAGGGTTATAATTCGGAGGATAAAAGAAGTTGGAAATTCTAAAGATTCACTGGTACTCGAAAATTCGTATTCGTAGTCAAATCGTGCGAGGTCGCTATCTAGTTCAAGATATCACACTGAGCAGAACAACTTTCTGTGCCAGAGCGCCTCGCAAACTAATCTTGGTTGGACTTCAGAGCCTTCTGGGTCCCTACTGTGTACCAGGATTGAGTACTCGCCGTGATTGGCCTGTTCGGGTTGTGAATTGAAGGGAAATCCGAACGCCCTTCCGATAACTGATTCATTAGGTCCGTTTGGAGCGTCGAACAAGAACCTCGGGGCTGCTTCGCAGACGTTACTAACTGCGATAAGATTATGTCTGCGACGCAGGCTACCATTAGGGACTTTAAGATCCAACGACGCGACGGCAACCAGAACGTCGCTTAAAAAGTGAATTTGCGTTCTTTCAGTCTTTATGGCAATCATTACCCTCTTACTTTGTGGAATGTAGGCGAACCCTCCTGGAGTTGAATTCCTAGGGACCATAACCATGTTCAGAAAGAGATAAAATTTCGTCTTCTTGTTCAAAGTTGTTGTTTGCTCATAAAACCTATTGATTTTTCTACTTTCGCGTTGCCGTCCGCGTCGTTGGATCTTAAAGTCCCTATTATGGCTGACCCAGAAGACTACCGGCACTGGCAGTCCAAACGTGCGGCTCGGCTGAGGCCACCTTGAGCAGAGTGGAGTGCCCGATGACAATCACTCGATAACGACACATCACTCACGGCAGCGCCTCGTGTTTCAAAACTCGCCAAAACACTCCTGCTCGTTTTTTTAAATAATGCATAGACAAAATTCCAGAGTAACTTACAAGGCTACTACTGCACCTCTGCAAGGCTTCACTGATGTAAGAGCTTTGGTTCTTTCGCGGGAAGAAGGCTGAAGTTTCCTAAAATGGACACGAAATAGGATTTATTAAAAGATTAAAAAAAACTAGTTTCCATAATCGCCACGTTCGGACAGGAGGAGCAGAAAAAAAAAAAAGACATGGCTGAGTTATTCTCAGAAGTTGTTACTAGGAATGGAAATGACAGGGGAAATGGGAAAAAAAAATATTATCACCATTCAATTTCTCCGTTTCTGATTGGCTCAAATCCCCCAGCTTTAATATTCTTCATAACCAGCTAACGTTGACCAACTTTGGAAGACGCTTGCGATATCCGGTAAAATGAATGAATGAATGAATGAATGAAGAGTCGTTGATGAGAGGACAACAGACGTGCCCTCTTACAATATATTTTAACATGTGAACAGTAAGCTCGGACATCAGCACACAAAGGAGCCATTGGCATCCGCTCTCAGTCCATTTAAAATGGCGTCAATGGTACAGAATATTGCAAGAAAAAGGGACGACAACTGAAAATGATTATTTGCAATCTAAACTAAATCATCAAACCAATAGACATTTTCCTGGTATTTAAAGATACCCTAGAGAAAAAAATGAGTAAACATCATATACTCTTGTATCTGAAACACACTGTACTTTTTAGAGTCCTTTTTCTTTCCGCCAAACAGCAAATGCTTGAGGACAAACGCCTGTACAGCAGCCAACACTCCACAGGGTCCACCCTGAAAAAAAAAAAACGACAACAACAACAATGATAACCCCTAATATTATAATCTACTCACTCTGTTTTATAAGGCTAAGATACTACAAGGAGAACTTTGAGGCTGATCACTCTAGGGTTCCTTTAATGAATTAATTATTTTATTCATTTGTTTTAAAATCTGAAGAGTTTCAGTGCTACAGCGTTGCCTTTTTGCAACCTAAAATCATATAATGGTCGCCAGGAGCGTAACTGATAACTATTTCACGCAAATGTTATCTCACTAAAAACTTACTTATTGAAAAAGCAACGGCTTGGCGGCATTACCGCCTAAAACAGGTGTGTACCCAATTGGCGACTTTCGCTGCACTTTTAATCGCAAAATTTTGTTTTTTACTCACCATCGCAACCAAAACGGTCGCAGCTTGGACCACTGGTCACCGTTGTATGGTTCAAACAATTTCCCTTTTTTCCTAGAGATTGAAGCGAAATATTCGCATTAACTTGACCTTACCTTTAGTTG